GGGTCGGGAACCTCGCCCACGAGATCGGCACCTCGGGGCTCCAAACCGGAGTTCCCACTCACGAAAAACCGATTCGGCGCACTGGCAGCAGCGGACTACCAGCATTCCGGGCCCATCAAGCTCGGCAACACGGAGGCCAGCAGCGCCAGCACAAGGCCCACTCAACAGCGAAGACGCCGGCGAAGTCGACGAACCGCCGCCCGTGTCCTGTCAGAGCTCAGAGGCAAAGGCGAGACGAGCTCGGGCGAGGTAGGAGTTGCCTCGCTTCTCTCAGTTCCTTCCCCCCTCGCGTCAGAACTCTTAACAGTCCCCTTGCCCAGAGATTTCAAGCTCCCACCTCTAGACAAGTATGACGGGTCCTTCGACCCCAACGACCACGTTGACGCTTTCCAGTCCCAAATGCACCTCGCCAAAGCCAGCGAATCATGCATGTGCGTGGCTTTCACCACCACCCTCAGGGGGGTAGCCCGCACTTGGTACAGGAACCTAGCCTGGGCTCAGTTCGTGCAGGTCTTCACTGCACACTTTGTCACCAGCAAACGGTGCCCCAGAGCAGAAGAAAGCATCTTTGGGGTAGTCCAAAGGGAAGGAGAACCCATACGGGGCTACATCAAACGATTCAATGAAGCATGCTTACAGATACCGTGATTAGACCCCGCGGTGCAGCTCGCGGCAGCAAAAAGAGGGGTGATGCACAAAGAGTTCAAATGGCACATGGTAGCTAACCAGCCCGCGACCGTGGCTGAATTTCTCAAGCTCGCGGACAAGTTCATGAGGACGGAGGAAGAGATCAACCAACGAATCGAGGGCGGAAACGAGAAAAGAAAGAGGGATGGCGAGCCCTCTGACTCAGTCGACCGAAAAAACCCGGCCCGGGACCCAAAACCGAACCAGTCGTTCCGAACTCCCCTACCAGTTCGGACGGATTACACACCACTGAACACAAGGCGGACCGAAATCTTAATGACGATCAAGGACGCCCCGTACGTGAAATGGCCACCTCGCCTAAAGGGAAATCCGAACGAAAG